GACTAAAGGATTGATGCTAGAACATCCTTCATTTCAACATAAAGAAGAAATTGTTTCTTTTTCCAACAACAGAATATGGAAAAGTTCAATTCTTATGTATTGATGCTACAGCATTTTGCTTTCCAACACTTTGTAAACTTTGTTTCTTTTCCAGGTACAATGGTTTGAAAATTCATAGGCTGACTATTAAGGTGCTGATGCTAGAGCTGTTAATTCTTGCATCCATTCATTTCAACACTTTGTTTATTAATAACTGCATTGTTTCTTTCATAGGTACGAGGATGGGCTGAAAAGTTCATAGGCTGACTATGTAGGATTGATGCTAGAACTGTGTAGGGATTGAGCTGTGAAATTTTGCATCCATTCATTTCAACACTTTGTTTATTAATAACTGCATTGTTTCTTTCCAGGTATGAGGATGGGCTGAAAAGTTCATAGGCTGACTATGTAGGATTGATGCTACAGCTGTGAAATTTTGCATCCATTCATTTCAACACTTTGTTTATTAATAACTGCATTGTTTCTTTCCAGGTATGAGGATGGGCTGAAAAGTTCATAGGCTGACTATGTAGGGATTGATGCTACAGCTGTGAAATTTTGCATCCATTCATTTCAACACTTTGTTTATTAATAACTGCATTGTTTTTCATTCCAGGTATGAGGATGGGCTGAAAAGTTCATAGGCTGACTATGTAGGATTGATGCTACAGCTGTGAAATTTTGCATCCATTCATTTCAACACTTTGTTTATTAATAACTGCATTGTTTCTTTCCAGGTATGAGGATGGGCTGAAAAGTTCATAGGCTGACTATGTAGGATTGATGCTACAGCTGTGAAATTTTGCATCCATTCATTTCAACACTTTGTTTATTAATAACTGCATTGTTTCTTTCCAGGTATGAGGATGGGCTGAAAAGTTCATAGGCTGACTATGTAGGATTGATGCTACAGCTGTGAAATTTTGCATCCATTCATTTCAACACTTTGTTTATTAATAACTGCATTGTTTCTTTCCAGGTATGAGGATGGGCTGAAAAGTTCATAGGCTGACTATGTAGGATTGATGCTACAGCTGTGAAATTTTGCATCCATTCATTTCAACACTTTGTTTATTAATAACTGCATTGTTTCTTTCCAGGTACGAGGATGGGCTGAAAAGTTCATAGGCTGACTATGTAGGATTGATGCTACAGCTGTGAAATTTTGCATCCATTCATTTCAACACTTTGTTTATTAATAACTGCATTGTTTCTTTCCAGGTACGAGGATGGGCTGAAAAGTTCATAGGCTGACTATGTAGGATTGATGCTACAGCTGTGAAATTTTGCATCCATTCATTTCAACACTTTGTTTATTAATAACTGCATTGTTTCTTTCCAGGTACGAGGATGGGCTGAAAAGTTCATAGGCTGACTATGTAGGATTGATGCTACAGCTGTGAAATTTTGTATCCATTCATTTCAACACTTTGTTTATTAATAACTGCATTGTTTCTTTCCAGGTAATGAGGGATGGGCTGAAAAGTTCATAGGCTGACTATGTAGGATTGATGCTACAGCTGTGAAATTTTGCATCCATTCATTTCAACACTTTTGTTTATTAATAACTGCATTGTTTCTTTCCAGGTAATCGTAGGATGGGCTGAAAAGTTCATAGGCTGACTATGTAGGATTGATGCTACAGCTGTGAAATTTTGCATCCATTCATTTCAACACTTTGTTTATTAATAACTGCATTGTTTCTTTCCAGGTATGAGGATGGGCTGAAAAGTTCATAGGCTGACTATGAAGGAGCGATGTTTAGGGCAGTGAAATCTTGCATACATTAATTTCAAATCTTCATACTAATAACTATTGTTTCTTTCCAGGTATGGTAACAAAAAGGACACTTGAAATCAGAAAGGGAATGCTGAAATATCTCGGACACATATTGAGGTAGGAACAGACATTTTGACACGGTGTAATGATTAGCACACTTACCTCACTAGATCACTTACAGCTGAGTAGTGAGTTCAATTTTCACTGGGTGCTCCATACTTTCAGCCTTTTGCCACATATGAGCTATGATTAGAAAATCTTTATCGTAATGACGAAGGAGGGTTTAAAAGATCTGAAACTCACAGGACATATCGAAAGGACAGAATGGAGATAGCAGGCTGCCTGCCTGATGAACTCATATGAATAGATGCTAGAATGGAGAGGTAGTCTAAGACAAACTTTAATAAGAGCTACAAAGGAAAGGAAGCTATGGAGAGCCATGACTGCTCATGTCCTGAAGGCACACAGCACATAGAAGATTTGGATGAAATTTAGATCATGCAATCAGCCCAGCCTTTTTGTTGCAGGAGATGAACTGCTCATCAAATTTTTGATTTGTTGACTCATCGGGCGAAGTTGATTTATTAGTGCTTCATTCCAGTAGCCTTGGACCAGATTAAGTTCCTACCTGGAGTAATGGTTCTATCTCAAAAAACCGTTGCAACATAAGTAGGATAGTTGTCAGCAAAAAAAAAAAAAAAAAAGCCCAAGGTGTATTCTACAAACTGGAATCAATTAGGTTAATCTATCGTCTGGTTCACACTCTTCCCCAGTCTTCTGAACAATAGCAGGAATTTATCCCTTGTTTAGGATTGTGTTTCTGGATACTTCTAAAACCTACTTCAACTCTATACTTCTGATGTCTCTGTTGAAATTCTGAAATTTACTATTTATTTATTTCTTTCCTCAGTAGGAGTAGACAGGTTCACCTATTGAGCAGTTCACACTCGTCCCAGGTCTTTTGAACAGGAGAAGAGGTTTATCCCTTGTTTAGGATTGGGTTTTCGGTTCCTACTAAGGTCTATTCATTCTCTTTCATTCGCAGTAACCCCTTGTGTCTTAGTGACATTATCATCTTGCTTGAGGTGAACTAATTAAAAAAAAAATCTACAGAAGTTTAATTACCTAAAAAGTTATTTTAACAGGTGACAATAAATGTGACACTGACTGAAATCTGAAGGTGCATTGGCATAGCAAAAGATGCCTTCCAAAAACTAAACAAAGTATTAAGAAACAGGAAAATATAATTACAAACCAAGAAAAGAGTGATGAACAGCTATGTAATATAAATCCTTCTATATGGCAGTGAATGCTGGACAATTTCCTCACAGATGAAGATAATAGAGACATAGTTCTACAGAAGGATCCTGAGAATACAATGGATGGAGTGTGTAAACAACCAAGAGATGGAAAGAAAAAGAAAACTGATACTTAGTATCAGAAAAATTTATCTTAAATATCTTTGACATATAATGAGGAAAGAGGGCTTGGAGAATTTGACACTCATATTGAAAGTGAAAAATCAAGGTGGGGGCAGCAGACCAATTACCTGATGTGCTTGTATAAATAGATTTAGGAGGAATGTCAAGGAGACAAACAGTGCTAAGAGCTATAAAAATAGGAAGTTGTGGAGAGCCATAAACGTCATTGTCCTTGAAAGTATTGAGGCAATGGGGTTGTTGTTCTCCTGAAGGATGCTGAGAATATCATTTGTCACATCGTGAAGAAGTTTTAAGGAAAACGGAAACAAAAAGGACACTTTGAATCAAAAAGAGAGAGTTGAAATTTCTAGGATACATGAGCAAAGAGGGCTTGGAGAATTTGACACTCACAGGACACATTGACAGCTAGAGGGAAACAGTGAGTAACCTACCTAAAGAGCTTGTGTAAACTGATGGGAGAACAAGTAGTAGGATGGATAGTAAGAAGACAAATCTGGCTAAGAGCTTCATATCATAGGAAGTCGTGGAGAGCCATAATTGCTTACATCTTGATGACACATGGCTCATTCATCTTTTATGGACCATGTCCTATCAAGACGTCGATGATCAAAGGTCTGGTGTTAAACACCCAAAATGGCAGTGCCAAAATGGCAGCACCCAGTTGTCCCATTCTGTGGATTCCTATCTCTTAATATTTTAGTTTCTGAAAAGCATCTTTTGCTATTCTTATGAACCTTCATTTGTATTTGATTGATTCTGACATCTCCAGTACATAGCTCACACCTTGGGGTATCTTTTTTTCCCGAAGCCATGCATTCCATCTTCTTAGTTGTTGGGTTAATGCCATAATTAGTATACACCATGCTTTGTCAATCTTGTGAACCATCACAGCTAATCAGCGATGCACCAGTCTGTACAGAGAGGAGTTTTGAGGTAGATGCAATAAAGAGTGGATGCTTTTCTACCACACGGGAAAAGCATAGCCTCTTACAAAATGACATTCTGTATTTAAGATTATTGACAGACTTTTATATTTGCTAGCCTCGCTTTTTCAGGGAGTGAGAGAATGCATGTAGCATGTGCCTAAACATTATTAGCATGTTTTCTTTTCATTTACATTCTTTCAGCTTACTCTGTAGCCATTCTTTATTTTGCTTTTTTAATGTTGGGTACATAGCTGCACCTACGCCAGGTACAATTAAAGCCATCATATATATTTGGTACCATACAACACAACTTGTTATGACTGTAGTACATTCAATCATCAGTGGGCACCCCAAACATATAGCCTTGTGTCAGTCTTGGAGAAGAGGTTTATCCCTTGTTTAGGATTGGGTTTTCGGTTCCTACTAAGGTCTATTCATTCTCTTTCATTTGCAGTAACCCCTTGTGTCTTAGTAAATATCGATAAACTTTGGTTTTTAAAACCTGAAATTAAAACAAAATTATATCCTTTCATTCCATCTTTTAGAGTAAAAACAAAGCAACAACAACAAAAGTAAATACAACTACCACATATACTTGTGCATAATTCTAGTGACTTTTACGCAAAAAATAGGTGGGGTTGCATTATACAGAGATGAATTTTTTCAAGGGGTTAAAAATCATGCATTTTCAGTGACTGGTTGCATTATACATAGATATGTTTTTTTTTTCTGGACGAGTTAAAATTCATGCATTTTTGGTGATCATAACCTACCTGGTAGGCCTACATTTGTACGGTACCTTTGGCTAACGTTAATGGTACAGGTAAGCTCCTTTTGTCTGCACTTCCTCTTCCAACAGTGGTCACCTGTTAGTCTTTCCTCTGTTTACACGGTATCTAAATCTTTGTATTAGATATTTTACGGTAGGTGGATCTTCTTGCCATTTTGGGATAGTTTCATACAAAGTATGAAACCATTTATTTAGTATAAAATACACCCTTGTGCAAATTAATTGAAACAAAACAATTCTATTATAATTTACTTTTGTCTCATTTTTCCAATGAAACATTCCCCAGTGCACATGTTAGTACTTTGTATGTCCATTCCACAAAATTGTTCCTTGTAGACTGACCACAGGTTCTTGATTGGATTTAAATATGGAGAGTTTCCAGGCCAGTCTATAGTACTTTGATTTGCATAATGGTAAGGCTTGCCAGTATATTCCTGTAGCATTACAGTTTTCATATGCTTATGTAAAGTAATGTCCATCGCAGACAAAAGCCATAGGACAAATAATCAACAGTTGAGACAATAGTGTCTGGGTGTAATGAAAATCTGATGCAATCACGGATGATGCCATATTTTTCAAGACTAAACATATGTCATCATACACCCTGAAAATAGATTCATATTACTGCACACCACTGCAAGTGACCTAATCTGAGGGAAAAATAGAAATCAATTGCACCCTGTCACTCCAGTGGGTCTAAAACTGATCATATGGTGAAAGAAAGGATACTAAAGCAGTTGTTTCACTTAATTTGTGCAAGGGTGTATGTCCAGTACTGTAATATTTGACTGATACGTCTACTTGTATTGCTCAAAAAATGGGATCATATTATACACAAACTGTATGAAGAAATAAGGTTTTTCATTAAATAATTCAAGGCTGGCACTGTACATTAACTAGACTTATACACGAGTATATATGGTAAAAGAAATAAAGAAAACACAAATACATGCAAGTGATGACTTTCAAACAATGTCTTGTCTTTTATTGTCTTAAAACAAACAGAGAACAGGTACTGCACTTTCATCCATGAGCGAAGACATGAAGGAATTGAAGACATGTAAAATGGCGAGAAAAAACAAAGACTTAAAGATTTTTTCCTATACTATTTTTCCCTATTCTGCTCATAACATGCATTAACTCCTGACCATTGACAATCCCTTTCCTCCTGATTTGTAATGTATTTCTTTAGCAAAATCATTAGTAATACATTTACATTACTGTATCCTGTCACATGCTTTACATTTCCAAGCAGCTGAGAAATCACATTTAATCATTTATTTTTCACAAGTTTTTTTTCATATATTATTACCAATTAAGCATTTCAGATAAAGAATTTTGAAATTTTAAAAAAGAAATATAGCATACGCTATAAGCACATTTCGTTTTGGTAAGACTATCAAACGACAATGAAACCGGACTCCCACTATTATCTTTGGTAAATTTTAATAATAAAAAATTAATTTGATGATCGTAATCTGGAGTGCTAAATTTATATTAATATGAAAAATGTTGAAAAAAATGATTATTTATGGCCTATTCTAAAACACTATCCATTAATTCCTGACCACTGACAATCCCTTTCTCCTTGGTTTTTAAATTATAACATATAAATTGAATGCTTGAACAAATAAACCATTCCTTAAAGACCCCCCCAAAAAAACACACTAAAATTCTGTGTTTAATCTTAATTTTTTAATTAATCTGCCCAGAGAGGGTTGGAATGTTTGTGCCAAAAATGAATAAGGAGGTGGAGTAAAGGTAACGTCAGTGGGTAGAAATAAGAAAAAAAACTTAATTCAAGCAGCCAATGCTCAAATATTATTGGGTTGGAACAAAGGTTTGTAGCATTTTTCAAGAGTTGTTGTTTTGAACAGGAAATTCTGGTTCAAACACACATCCCTGAAAATTTATAACATATCCTTATAGCTGACATTTCTATGTGATTCTAAATATGTGGATTATGAATTAATTTTTTTTTTTTCCAGTGAGGAAAAAAAAACACTGTACAAATAGCAAAAAAGATATGTGCCATTTAGAGAGATGGTGCCATAGCTGAAGGTATTGTTTCTAAGTAGTTTTCTCAGTTCAGAAGTGGATATTTCAATCTGGAAGGCCAAGAATGCTCTAACAGGCTTGCAGTCACTGATAATCAAAAATAACTCAAGCTGAATAGCAGGGTGTATCAGAGATATTACACATATATCATTCAAGGTTTGTAAGGCATTTGAAAATATTTGGAAATGCAAATTGCTACAATGTTTGGGTGCCTCATAATTTAATGGACTGCGATTCCATCTGCAGTTCTTTGAAGAAAACCAACAAAAATAACCCAGTTTTAAAAAGAACAATCACAGGCAATGAAAAGTCGATTGTTTACAAGAATGCAGAGTGAGAAGCTGAGTGTATAGATTTAAAAGGAATGGAAGGTTATTGTGTATTATAACCTCCTTCCACAAAATCAAATGTTGCACTTGGGCAAGGGTTATTTCCAATTTGGACCAATTAAAAGCAGCAATTGATGAAAAGCATCCAAAACAGGCCCACCTGAATGGTGTTGTGTCTTCAGTCAGGTCAATGCCAGACCACACTTCAATTCTCTGGAAGCCTGTAAAAACTATTTAGACCAATCCATCCTATAGAAAGATTCTAAGTTCTGGGAGGATGTAATCATGAAGCTCTATCAAAGATGGCAAAAAGGTTATCAAACAAAATGGCACATAGGTTGTTGAATAAATATATGTACAAATATGTAAATATTGTCTTTGAAATTGACTTAAAAATGCTAAAAAACATTTGATTCCAACCCAATACAACTGTGGTTATTTCTTGGGATGTTATATCAAAGTCAGACTTGTTTATCATTAGTAATGAGTTGAATTCATGCTGGGTGACCTATACTTGTGACCTTGTGCCAAACTAATCTATATTAAGTAAATAATTTCATTACCATTTTCTGTCTAATGAATGAATATTGTGTGATATTTTAAATGAAATCAGGATAAGTATGAATAAATATCTGTTATTGTTAACAAGATTTGGCATTTTTGTCTTTTTTGGTAGTTTCCGGACTAATGGATTTCAGCTCTCTGAACTTTGGGGTTTAGGAATTTCCAGTGATTTGTATTAGGCATTTCTGGATTTTTGGATTTTCCAGACTATTGGATTTAGGCTTTCTGGACATTGGGATATTTTATTTCATGGATTTCTGGACTTCTGGAATGTGTGATTTCTGGCTTTTCAATTTATTTGGATTTAGACTTTTCTGAAACTTACAGATTTTTCAAACATTTGAGTTTAGGCTTCTCAAATGTTGGGATTTTTGACTTTCTGAGCTCTTGAATTTAGGTTCTCTATACTTTTGTTTAAATTCTTTCTGCCTGAATTGTACATGGCCAGAGAATAGATTGATCGAATTGTGATAACGATATCATATACATTGTATAGATGGCTGGTGTGATGAAGACACAAGGACTCATCTGAAAGTTACAGATGCTGAGAAAAAAAAAAAAGATCTAAGCAATGATACTAACATAAGCAATTACAAGTAATTTGAGTTATTTAATTATGAAATTTTAATTATTTAATTATTTCTTCAACATTATTTGTACCATTTTTGCCAATTTTTTTGTGGGTTCTGTCATAAGAAGAAAACTAATCATTGAAATTTAAACTAAATTATTATTATTTGAAAAGGAGGAAAAAGATGTAATCACTACTTACTTGACTGGTTGGCGTTCAGGAAATGGGGGAGAATTTTAAACTTGAAAGGATTGTCAGTCAGAAGCAATGAAAACTTGAAGACTTCATACGTCAGTGGGGAGTCCAGGAAAACTTCAACTGCTTTTTTGCATTTTCATTCTTTCTTTCGTTTATCTGGAAGGGGAAACTCTTTTAAACGTTATCTGGCTTTTTATTAGATTCTGTTCACGTTCATTCACTGATTTATCTTGTCTCATCCTATTGTTGGCCCTTCAAACTTTCTTCCATCGCAGTTCCTTTACAATTGCCCTTTTCTTTCTTTTCATCCTAGTTCCTTCTTATTCAGCGTGGCTCCTCCTTGTAGCCCCCCTTTCAGCCCAATACTCTCATTCCCCACTTTTGTTTTCCTTTTATCCCAGTTTCCCCCTCTTTTGGCCCTTCAGCTACCTCCCATCTCATCTCCCACTCATTTTCTCTCTTCTTTCTTTCTATCGTATTCTCTTCTTATACAGCCTGGCTCTCATTTGGCTCCATCCCGTCTTCCTCTCGTTCACTCTTTCAGCCACCTCATTCTTTCCAATTCTTCCATCCCAACTCTGTCTCATAAACCTTATGGTACCGTTCATCCTGCCTCTTTCGTTTTATACTTTCAGTTTCATCTTCAATCACTCCTGTCAGCCCCGCCCATTTGTCCTTCTGTCTCAGCTCTCTCTCCTTCAACCCTCTGTCTTGGCGCTGTCTCTTAAGCATTTTTCTGATCACTCTTCTTTCATTTCAGCACTCTTTCATTCACTCCTTTTCAGCCAATCCTATCTCAGATCTATTTCATTCACCTCTTTTCAGCCACTCCTGTCCCAGAGGCATCTTAGTCACCCCTTTTCAGCCACTCCTATCTCAGATCCATTTCATTCACTTCTTTTCAGCCATTCCTATCCCAAATCTACCTTATTCATTCCTTTTCAGCCACTCCTGTTCCAGATCCATTTCATTCACCTCTCTTCAGCCATTCCTGTCCCAAATCTACCTCATTCATTCCTTTTCAGCCACTCCTGTTCCAGATCCATTTCATTCACCTCTCTTCAGCCATTCCTGTCCCAAATCCACCTTATTCATTCCTTTTCAGCCACTCCTGTTCCAGATCCATTTCATTCACCTCTCTTCAGCCATTCCTGTCCCAAATCCACCTTATTCATTCCTTTTCAGCCACTCCTGTTCCAGATTCATTTCATTCACCTCTTTTCAGCCATTCCTGTCCCAGATCCACCCTATTCATTCCTTTTTCAGCCACTCTTGTCCTACATATTTGCTATTCATCATGCTTTTCATTTTCTTTTGTTTGTTTTTTTTTATTTTAATCCTTCTAATCCTTTTTCCCCCCATTTCCTTCTTTTAATCATTTTTTTTCTCACTCATTCTATCATTCAGCCGTTTCTAGTTCATTTCTTCTTTTTCCTTCATTTTCATTCTCCTGAAACTCATTCCCCTGACTGACCCTCTCTCATTTCTTCTTTCATTTATTCTTCCTCTTTCTTTCATTCCATCTTTCCTGCTTCGCTTTTCTCATATTTTTGTAATTCCTTGCTACTTTTGTCAAAACTTTTTTTCCATATGCTTTTGGGAAAATTTTGTTCTCATTTTAAAGTGGATTCATTCATTCTGACAACACAGAAGATTCTCCAAGAATTTTGAAGGAGCTGAATTAACGGTATAAGGACAGGGTCAGGACATTCCCATTCCTTGTCTGTCCAAAGTCATATAGACTGAAACAGTGTTCCATGACAAAACTAGGTGGAAAAACTATGAAGGAAAGAATGAATTTCACTTTCAAAACGAGTTTAACAAACTTTACACACATACATACACACACACACAAAAACAACACATTGTCAATTTTTAGACAAAATCATATTGCAAAAAAACAAAAAAAAACAAAAGAAAAGGAGTATTTTCATTACAAGCAACAAACAAAAAAACTAAAGATTAATTCAGACAACTAAAATGTGTGAAAAAAAAAAAAAAAAAAAAAAAAAATTACAGTTTAAATATATCATCCCCACTACAGAGCAAACCATTAGACCTAAAACATTTCAAAGATTGCATAGAGAAAGTAGATGAAACATTATTTAAGTAGGGCAGATTTTCTTTTATATGCTTTGTCCCTTAAGGACATAGTCAATCATGCCTCTCCACAATTTCTAGTTTGTTGTTGCTCTAAGAAACATTTTATTCTTTATTCAGAACCTCCATCAAAAAACACAATACCTATTTAAAATGAATCTTTAAAAGTGAAAAATATTTCTTAAAGATTCTATTTTTGTTTTAATTTAAAGCTAATAGATTAAATTTAATATTTCCAATAAGTAAAAAAAAACTTTACTGTATTTCAAAAACTAATTTAAATTGACTGGAAGAATTTCTTTGTATTTCGCTAAAATAGCTGATTAGCACCCTTTTTTTTTAGTAGTCTTTTATTGCAATGTAGTCCTTTTTTTAAAAAAAAAAAAAAAAAAATTCTTCCAAAAATAAAATACACATTTCTGAAACTTTATTTGAGAAATATTAGCTGATTTAAAGTATAATTAATCTGATTTGAAAAAAAATATTTACTTTAAATTTAAAATATTTCAGAACAGCATTGTTTAATGCTGTTCTATGGAGACTTTATATGTAAAACATAATTTTTTTAAAAAATCACATAAGTGACTGTTTTTATATAATTTTTAAGTACTCAGTAATCTTAAAAACTTATGAAAATACTCTCCAAAGTTTAATGTTTTATTGAATTTTAGAAATGTTGACTCAGCACTCTTATTTTATGAATGTCATGTATGGTCACCCATACTTACAAAAATCAGCATGTTTATATACATGTAAAAAAAAAAAAAAAAAATTCTTTTAAAAATATTGGTGTTTGAGGATTTGTACTAAGCTTTTCCATTTATGATTGGTAAATATAGTTTTCAATTAATATCTAAAAAGCTGAAATTAATACAGAAGATTTAAAACTTAAACTTATTAATTCAAATTTTTAAAATATGAAAACAATTCATTATTCAGTGAAAAAGTATTTTTTAAGACAATAGTGTCCTTAAAATATCTTATTTATAAAAGGAATTAAAAGCTTTTCTAATTAATTAGTGTCATAGTTTTATGGCATTTTTTAATTAATGATTCAGAGCAAATTGTTGGTAAATGGTGTTTATAAACAAAAAACAAAAACAAACTGAGGATTTAAATTCTCCAAGAAGTCTTTATTAATATAAATAGGAAGAGACTGAAATTTTAATTTCTTGAAATTTCATAATATTAACAAAGTGGGGGGTAAGAAATGTAAAAAAGATTTTCTAAAAAATTAAATTTAAAAAATAATTTCATTCATTCATGAATAAGTCCTGAAAATTTCATTAAAATCTGACAATTACTGGAATTTTGCAAGAATTTTCAAAATTTGATTTTAATGCCAAAAAAGAGGCTAAAAATCCCTATACTAATCTTTGGCCAACACTGATGCAAGAAAGAACAAGATTTTTAACCAAAATTTCAAACATGCTAGACAGAATTAAAAAAATTTAATATAATAATCCAAAAATAATTTAGTGTTTCCTTTTAATAACAACAAACATTTTGATAATAAACTTTGTTTTTATCAAGTTTGGGGCCTTTTTTTTATCATGGTTTGTTTTTTTTTTTTTTTTTTTTTTTTTAAGAAAATTTTTGGGAGGTACCTATTCTGTACCATCCCTTTTTCACCCTCATTTTTCCCATCCATTCACACTAACTTATTAAAGAGATTACTTTTTTTTTCTTTGCATCTCTTGTTTTCTATATGTCCTGTGAGTGTTAAACATTCTAGGCCGTCTTTTCCTTTTCATGTCTTGCCTAAATAGACAACACATTTTCAGTTGTTAACAACAGCTACTATACGAATATATTTGATTGAACACTTCAGTATATTAATGAGTCTAATCTAACGTTTGAAACCAAGAGTTTAATCCTGACAAAAAAAAGTATATGAGTGTCTAAACAATGTTGGATATGTTAATAACCCTTCTCAAAATTATACACAAGTTTATTTTTTTACAATATAACAATCTCAATACTGACAATCTCAGCATCATTACTTCTTTCAATGGCAGGGTCCCATCTACGAATGAGCACATTTACCTCCGTAAAAATCAGATGTCTACTGATGTAACTAATTCCTTACAGCAGTTTCCACTTTTTCATCACCACTATAACTTGTCATTCAGTGTGTGTTATTGAACCAGAGAGACAGAAGTCTAAAGGTGCTGAGGTGGAATCATAATAAAAATGTTCTCAAACTTAAATTTTTTTTTTTTATAAGCAAGTCACCCCAAGTAAGGCAAGAGTACCACTAGCATGCAAGGGGTTACAGTGAGTGAGAGTAAGAGTAAAGAGAAGTGCTTGAGAAAAGGATAAAGAGGAGGACAGAGATCAAGGTCATGCCATCAGATGTTGATTGACATTACATTTGAATATTTGAAGATTATAGCTATCAGGGAAGCAAGTGATAGGAAGGGGGTTCCATTGATGGGAGGTGCAAGATATGAAGCTGTTGGAGTAGAAGAGATGGCTACATTTAGCTGTTTTGACAGTGAAAGGGTGGAACCGAGATGCTAACCTAGTAGCACGTTTAAGTTCATGTAATTTGGGAACAAGTGAAAGTAGCTGGTCGGAGCAGTTACTGTAAAAGTACTTGTAGAAAAGGTAGAGGGAAGCCACAGCATGTCCAAGATAGCAAATGCAGACAGGATGCCAGAACAGGACCAAGTATGTTGCATATCCATCTCTGGATTTTGTCTAGGACCTTGAGATGAACAGCAGTAGCAGCAGACCATATATGGCAGCAGTATTCCATGCTAGGATGAATGGTTGATTTTTAGATTTGAAGAATGGACTCCACCAAGAAGAACATCAATAAGACCACAGAAGTAATAAACAAAATATATAACAGTGGTGAGATACTGGGAGTCCACAATAGATTCATCCTTGTAGTATTACCTAAGAAACTATCTCCACAACTAATCATGTTTTTTTTTTTAATATAAGTCCACACACACACATTATGAGGGAGATTAATGCGATTTGTTTTATTATATAAGAAATAAGGAACACAAACACATACATCGTGATATAGTTATACATCACGGCTTCACACCCCTACTTTTTAACACTCACAACCTCTTTCAATGGCAGTATTCTACCTACGAATAAGGGCTTGCATCGCAGTTTCTTTAAACTCAGCTGGTTGATAGTGCAGCCAATTACTTACATCAATTTTCACTTCTTCATCCCTAACTTATAGAACATGCTCAGAATTCTATCTCTTTGGTTCAATAAAAAATGGGACTCAGGAGCAAATGCTATGGTGATGATGAATAAATGACACATCTAACACAATATAAGAAAAAAATTACCACAAAACTAGTTGTATTGAATGCTTATATATATATGTATGTACACACACACAAAAACACAAACAGGGTGTCCAGAAAGTCTTTTTACAATTTAAAAAATATATATTACAAAGGCAATTGATGAGCTATCTTAATCAGATTCGTTCTCAGTAGTTATCAACATTTTTAATCACATTGCATTTGTGTATTTCAGGTATCCTGTTATTGAGGTACTGTTATAATGTACAATATAATGTAAAGGGTTCAGTTCGAAATTCCAACCACCTGAAGAAGGCCGGAGCGTACAACGGCCGAAACGTTGTGACAAATATGGCGACAAAGATGAGGGCAATAGTCCGACTAATGTAAATACTGTTATAATGTACCTCTAAAAATGGCTACTCCTCAAGAAAAGGCACAATGTGTGTTATGGTTAATTGAAATAAAATTAAATATGCAAACTCAGCAAAACTACAGATCTTCTTTCTATCGAATACCATCTTGATGTGCTTCATGAAACTAATGGCACCCATATAGAGCTGTATTGAATTAGTTAAATATAACTTCAATATCTACTCCTCATTTTGTAACAATTTCCACATATTTGTCTGTTCATTTGTTTTTGTAATATTTTTCTTTAATTGTAAAAAGACTTTATGGACACCCTGCATACATATCTATATATCTATACCGGTTTGGAAACAGTAGTAAACCTCAGTTTGTAATGGAATCACTGGAGCCTGACATTTCACAGTGTCTTGAAAATATTTATATACATAAACTGCAGGCAATGTAAGCTTTGTAAAGCCATATAAGGGCATCCACAACTTCAGAACTATTAATATAAAGCATACTTCATTTTTTATGTGTTGTCTCCCTTCAGGATGTGGGTGATCATGGCTCTTCACAACTTCCTTTCCATTGTAGGTCTTAGTAAATTTTGTCTTTTTGTTATCTCTCCTAATCCCTGTTGTGGCAATCATTTGCCCAAGTTCATTTGGTAGCTTATGCTTTATTTGCCTCTCTCCTATTTTCTTCAAAATATCCTGAGTGTCAGTTTCTCGAAATTCTCTT